GAACCTGGGAAGTGGGGGGGGAAGACAAAAGCCCAGAACATATCGAAAAATATTGGGAATCTCTTTCTTTGTGTGCACTTCTTTGTGTGTCCTTTGGCCCCTCTCAGAGCTGCACAGCTCCCCTCGGCAGCCTCTCCGGCGCCGTGGCCGGCACCGGGCTCCCTCGGCCGGCGGAGCTCCGCGGGGGCCCGAGCCTCGCTTTGGCCGAGGCCGCGCGCCGCCCGTCAGAGCCCCGAATCATCAGGGATACTTCGGGTCAGGGCTAACTCGGGTTCGTTTTTCGGAGGGCACCAACTACTATACACCAACACCGATCCTGGCCCAGGATCACCCTGGGCCCAGGATCGGTGTATATGCCTTCTTGCGCAAGGCAGGAGGGCGTATACACCGATCCTGGGCCCAGGGTGATCCTGGCCAGGATCGGTGTTGGTGTATAGTTGGTGCCTTCCTAGTTTTTCGCGAATCCAAACCCGAGTTGCCCCGGGCCCGAGTTACCACGGATAACTCGGGCGCCCAAGCGAGAGGCTGCGCGGGGCGGCCGCCCCCGGCGTGCCGGCAGAGCGCGGCCGTTGGAGCGGCGAGGCGCCTTCCTTCCCCAAGGCCCCCATCGCGTCGTGGAGAAAACACGGCGGGAGGTTTTTGTTCGCAAGGTTCGGCCTCATGGGGGCCCTCGCGGGGCCTCGGGAGCGTCAAAGAACGACTCAGGAGGAGACACCGGTCCCGGGGAATGGGTGCAGACCTCTGGCGGTCGACTTTGTGAAAGAATCACGACGTCGGGGGTCTGGGTCGGGTATCGCCAGGACCCCGGGCAAGGGGACCCGCTTAGTGGTGGGGCCTCGGAACCCTCGAATTCCCCAGAATCACTGAACCGGGTCTGCCGCATTTGGTGTTCTTTCGGGCGACGGCGGTTCCGGGGAGTGGAACGGGGCGGGGGGGCGTCCCCCGGCACACATCGCTAAACCAGATTCCACTAGACCCAGTTCTGCCAACGCCCGATTCCTACAGAAGAGGCCCATGCCGAGAAACACCCTGCTAGCCTCCAGGGTGCCCTGGGTTTCTTGGGTTTCGATGGTTGTGCCATGGAAGGCGTGGCGTTCCCACACCGAGAATCCATTGAAGTCCTGGGGTCTCAGGGTTGAGAATATTGTGGAAGGTTTCTTGTAGACTGGCCTTCACTGTGCGTTTGGATCGCGTTTGATTGACGGCGCTGCCCGCAGGTAGGGGACACCAAGGGGTGATCCAGCTCGCTTCGCGACCCTTTTTACAAGACTGGGATCTCGATCTGAGCACAACTGCCATCTCGGTTGCTCTGTCAGGCACCATGGGGGTAGGAAGGAAGGAAGGAAGGGGAGGGGGATGAGGTACGGGAAGGACGGGAGGATGTATGGTGAGAATCCCATTGTCGTTGCCAGAACACAAATCGCCTGGTACAAGTGGAGGGCACGCGCGACTGTACAAACTCCACGCTTGCGTCCTTGCACCGGTCTTCATGGAGGCTTTTCAAGAGCTCACAAACGGAAGTGTCGACCTCCCAAGCCACCTCGCATATTTCGCTTCGTCTGCAATTCCGAGTCGGTCAAACCCCGGCACCTTCAACCTTAGCGAAGACACCAAGGTCCTTGCAAGGTTCTGCACGCATTGGCGTAATCGAGCTGCTTCTGACCAGCTCAGAGGGAGGCAACAGGCGTTTTGTGACAGGAGGACGGTTCGAGCGGAGTGTGCTTGGTATGTCTGAGGCGGCGTCTCGGGCGCAGCACTGGCCTGCGGCAACGCGGTCCCTGTTGTTTTTCGGTTGACCGAAGGATTCCATGGGCTTTTAGGGAGCCAGGTGCGAACCCTGCCCCTACCCCCTACGATTTCTGAGGGGGAGGGTGGGGTTCACTTCGTTCGGGAGCTCCCGAGCGAAGTGAACCCCACCCTTCCTCTCAGAAATCGTAGGGGGTAGGGGTAGGGGTCGCATCTGGCCCCCTAGCTTTTCCGGCAACGGGTGGAGGCGGTTCCCGAGCACGCCCGCCTGCCGCAGCGAATCGCCAACGGAATTTCACAGCTGCTGCATCATCACACTGCGTGCTCGCGCTTCTCTGGCCACGCCTCTCCTGCCGCTGCTCTGAGCCCCGCACACATCCAATGATGCCCGTTCTGTGTTTTTTGTGTGTGTGTCATCGTTGTGGGCCCTTTTCTGTACCAGGCCGCGCCTGTGACGGGGTGGGTCATGTGCTGGGGGTTCTGCGACGACTGGAACCTTGAGTTCGAAGGCGTTCTTGCCACTGCTTCCGTCGCGGTTGACAATCACCACTCCGGCGAATCCGCCAGAGCAAATTTCATGGATGTCACACCGTGTTCTTACACTCATTGAGTTGCAGTGGTTGCGTTCGTTTTGTAAAACCTTCATGTAGCCCGCTGGCATAAGTCGCTAGGCGCCTGAGCCCCTCGCCACATTACGCCAGCGATTGTAAATTCTCAGGATGGCCAGAGCGAGCCCGGGCACGCTCCTCGCTTGGAACGTGGTTGCCCTTCTTGTCGGTGTCGCCTGTCATGCATTTCCATGTCATCATCGAAGCAGTTGTTAGTGAGATTCGCAGTCTGGCGCAATCTTTCTTTGAGCGCGTGAGTTGGTGCCCTTACGAAGGTTCTGTCACACAAAAAAAGTGTGTGTTCGAACGCTCGTCGAAGCTACCAACCTTTCACCGTTGCAAACATTGCCGCGTTGCTGTCCGCGGCCTTCGGGTTGGAGGACGCCAGGTGTGTTGACCTTCAGTTGATCGACGCGTGCGTGCGTGACCTCGCTTTGCCTGCTTCCAGGATAAGTCTGAGGCTGCTCGCAAGTGATGCTAAATCGTTCGGTGCGTTCTTGCTGATCACGGGGCGCGCCGTCACCGAAGCCTTGACGTTCGGGAGCGGTCAGGCAGGAGCAGGGACAAGGAGGCGGGAGCGCACCGGTACTCGTACCGATGCCTTTACGAAGCCGAGGCCCACAGGACCACCGCACTCGTCAGGATGAGGTTTCAAACTCGCGGTCTTTCTTGGAGCCCTGTGAGCCGCTGTTTGAGGAGAATGCCGTCCAGCGTGCCCCGGGGAGCACCACTCGACCGTCATGCGGAATTTCCTAAACGGAGAATTCACGACCCACGAGCTGGCGCCAGCGTTCGGTCATGCGGTGTCGTGTTGCCCTTTCTGTGGAAGAGCTACTGGGAATTCGGTGAACCATAGGAACACCTGTCCTGAACTCGCCGCGTTCCATGCTTGTTTTCCGCGTCCGCATGCAAGCCTCACATCTCGCGACAGTGGATATCCCCAGCGTTTCCACATCTCGGTGCGTATTCGTTTTCACATGCGCGGTTGCGCGCCTGCGTCGTTTGTTGCTTGAAGGGAAGCGTCTTCTTTCTTTCGAGGACGTGGCCTTGCAGGCGAAGCGTCCGTGCAATGACCCCCGGATCACAGGGGGCCGCCTCGCAACAGCACGCCAGGACTTCCGCGAGACGCGCGCGCACGCGCATGCCTTCGAGACAAGTTCAGGAAGGAAAAAAACACACAGGCACAATTAATCGTCGACCCCGAGGAAAACATGGGAAAATGTGGGAAGTGGGGGGGGAGACAAAAACCTACAAACATATGTGAAAATATTGGGAATCCTGTTATTTGTGTGTATTTATTTGTGTCCCAGGAACCCTTCACAAGTGTTGTGGTCTATGCTCCTGGCGGCGCGGCGCGCAATAACGGCGAAGCAATGGCGTGACAATCGTCACACGGTTGCGTGCGCAACGCACCTGGGGCCCGCCAGGTGGATGAATGTTGCGGCGGGCGCTTAGGAAATACAGCGAACCACCATGCCGAGTACGCCGCCCTCCTTGAGTGCATGCAGCACGCTTTGGTGAACCAGGCGTGCGCTGGTGTTCTCCATGTCGGACAAGGTCAATGGAGAATGGAGTTGCAGGTGCCAGCTACTTCGACCGCTGTACGAGCGTGCCCTGGAATTGCTCCAATGCCCCTGACAAAAAGCCACTGTCGCAATCCGTTCACGTCCGCCATGTGTCGGAAATATAACGCAGATGCGGACGGCGTGTGTAACGAGGTCTTGGATGGAATCGCCAGTGGGGCTCTTCCCGTTGCCCACACTTGCCACGTTTGGACTAACTGGAGGCGGTACGTGCGTGCTCCTTGAGGTCTGCACAGCGCCCCTGCCCCGTAATGCCTCCCATCCGGTGTCTGTGTGCAGGGTTTGGGGGCCTTCTACCGTTCGCCTACCCCATCCTCTCCCTTTTACGATTGATGTTGCTGATTTCGCTTGGCGACCTGGCCGCCCCTGAGGGGTGACAGTTCCTCGAATGTGACGAGCGTTGCGGCAGCAGCGGCGTTCCGCTGTCCCTAAGTACCAGATGCCCGTGCACGATGGTGCAACGCATTCTGAGGAGCCGATCTGCCAGGGTCGAGGGGGCCCCCCGCACGGCCCGCCACTTCGGATTTAGTTCTTTAGACATTGCTCCAGCCGCCTCTGGGCACACTTCTGCCTGCCAGGTATCACAGGTCATGTGTCGTGTCGCTTTGGGGGGGGCACTCCGCGAGGCGTTCCGTGACACCGACCATCTGCTGGATCAGTTCAAGCATACAACGTCCGATGATTGCTGGAGGAAAACGCCTTTTTCGCCCCAGCGACCGATCGCCTCCACCCCCTTCCTCAGACGGGCGAACGGCGATTTAGGTTGCGGCGATGTAGGTTTCGGTCGTGTGGCAAGGCGTGGCTCGCGCCTTCCTACAATTCGTTGTGTCGTGCTCGCTCGACCCACTCGCAGACTGGGAATGTAGGAAAGTGTGGTTCGTGTCTGCCCACAAGCTGGTTCCCAACATCACCGTGAAGCAGCAGCGCCGTTAGCCCGGCCTTGACCCCTCCGCTCGCCCCCTCCCCCACTTCCGCACCCCCCCTCTCCCCCCCCCCTCCCTCGGCCCTCGCCCTCCGCCCTCCGCCCCCTCCACCCCCCCCAACAGCGCCCACCGCCGCAAAGGAGTCGGACGCCCAGATGCAGGAGCGCCTGCGCGAGTTCATGGCCCAGCTGATGTGCCGCGCCACTCCCCTTAGGTAGTGCAAGGCCTCCTACAGGCGGATTTGGGAGGACAAATGTGTATATATATATATATATAGATATATATATATATATATATATATAATATATATATATATATCAGACATGAGAAAAATAGTTTTTGCTAACCACTATTGCGGATTCCTCCTGTGGAGGGACATGCCCGACTTGACACTCCCCCCGCTCGCCGCAGTCCAGCCCCCCACGGGTCGGGCGACGAAATCCGTATATATATATATATATACATATATCTGTATACATCTATATATATATATATATACACATACAGATTTATAGATACATCTGCATGTATGTATGTATGTATATATATATATGTATCCAATATTACCTGGCCAGACGCTCCTGCACCAAGGAGCTGTGTTTACGCCCTTCTGGCCAAGACAGGAGGGCGTGGCGTGTACAATGGAGACCCATGCCAAGAAACATCACGCTTGCCTCCAGGGTGCCCCGCGTTTCTTGGTTGTGTTGTGGAAGGCGTGGCGCTCCCACACCAGAAACCAGTGGACGTCCTGGGGTCTCAGGGTTGGGTTCCTTGTGGAAGGCCTCTCGTGGCCGGGCCCCATACTGCACACCGCTGCTGGGTCCAGGACGGGCCTGGCCAGGGAGCAGTGGATGTGTGTATAGATCTCGTCGCCCTCACGGGGGGGCCCGGCCCGCCCGCTCGGCCGGCACACCGCGACGCCGCGGCAGAAGAGAAGGCCGAGGTCGAAGCCGCTGCAGGGGTGGGCTCGGCATCGCCCTGGCGTGTGCACTCGAAGAAGAAAAAAACGCCATAAACACAAACTGTTGGCGCTCCGCACGGGTTTCTTGGATCCGCGCTGGGCCCCCCCCCCCCCCGGCGGCGCCTCCGGCGCCGCCCCTGGCGCGCGGGGCGCGCCAGGGAGGGGGGTTCCAGAAGAAATCCGCGCGGAGCGCCAAAAGTTTACGTTTACGCCGTTGTTTCTTCTTCTTATTGTTATTATTATTATTATTCTTATTATTCTTCTTCTTCTTCTTCTTCTTATGGTTCTTCTTCTATGCATGGCTTCCTCGGCGAGGACCATCGAGGAGCATGTTGGACCATCTTGCGGGGAATCTCCATGCACGATGTCGAAAATATGCACGGGTATGGGCGTCCCAGCGATGGCGAGTGGAGGTTGCGGTCGCTCTCGCGGGGGAGGCCGAGGCCGAAGCTTGGGGTCAGTCTGAGGCTGCTGTTACAGCGGTTGGGGTCGAGGCGCCTGTGCTTCACAAGCCTCTACAAGAAATCGCGGAATCCCGGAGCCAGCTTAAATTTTGAACGTTTGAGGTGGGGGCAACCAGCAAATGTGGCGCTCCAGGAAGGACCTCGCCTTCGAGGGATCGAGGGGCTGACACCTTCTCTTCGGCGGAAGCCGGCGGACGTAACATGAAGATTCATTCCGCCGGCGGAAGCTGGCGAATACAATCATTTCCCGTCCAACAAGTGTTTCCTGGGTTCGGGGTTCCTGTAGCGAGCCAAGTGTTGCCCCATCTCGACGGGGATCCTGGTTGGGCGGGCTGTCTTCGCCACAGGCGAGCAGCATCCGCCGCGAAGCCGGCAGCCAGTCCTGCCCAGGGTCGGCAGGAACTGCCGTCGGCCCCCAAAGATCTGCGGGGACCCCCCCTCCTCCTCCTCCTCCTCCTCCTCCTCCTCCTCCGCCTCCTCCTCCTCCTCCTCCGCCTCCTCCTCCTCCTCCTCCTCCTCCTCCTGCTGCTCCTCCTCCTCCTCCTCCTCCTCCTCCTCCTCCTCCTCCTCCTCCTCCTCCTCCTCCTCCTCCTCCTCCTCCTCCTCCTCTCTCCTCTCCTTCGCTGCGCTCTCGTCTGGCGCCTGCGCGGGCCGTGCAGGTACTCGCCCTGCAGGACAGTGGTGGTCGTGGGCCACTCGCTGTTCTTTCGGGAGGCCCCGCGCCACATCTCCTTGGAGAGGGAGGGACGATGGTGATGATGATGATGATGGTGTTTGATGATGATGGTGTTCCTCATCATCATCATCATCATCATCATCATCATCATCATCATCATCATCATCATCATCATCATCATTATTATTATTATTATTATTATTATTATTATTATTATTATTATTATTATTATTAGTATTAGTATTATTATTATTGTTATTATTATTATTATTATTATTATCATCATCATCAGCAGCAGCAGCATCATCATCATCTTCAAGGATCCGTGAATGACGGACCAGGAGAAGGACGAGAGAGAAAGAGAGAGAGAGAGAGAGCAGCACAAGAAGGCCGCGCACGTCAGGGGTGCACTGGCAAGAGGGTGCAAGAATCCGCTGCAGTGCATGTCCAGCGGCCCTGCTGCGGAACAAGGGTGAACCTACGAAAACGAGTATTGTATTCAGGGCCCCTCGGATCTCGACATGAGCCTAAAAGCACGCGCAGCGACCAGTGGCGAGGGACAGGGGAAAGGGGAAGGGAAGGGTGTTCGGAGGGGCTCGATGTGCACACCACGTCGTTTGCTCGGCCATGGATCTAACGAGCTCGGCGACAGCACTCGGTGTATGGACGCTCCAGCGCCTCACAGGTTGAGAAGGGGGATGCGCCTATACACAGAGCGTCGAGGCCGACCAGACGATTTGGTGCGTACTTCGAGGCCCTCCCAGAGGGGGAGAGGGGCGAGGAGGACCGAAGAAGGCGAGGCAGATCCAGCTCAGAACGTCAGACGGGGACTGCGGGCAGAACCCACGGCGAGCGCCGCCCCCCCTCCGGGCTTCCGCTCTGCCGGCCACACTTCCACGCGCGGCCGCCAGCCGAAGCCCTCGGGCAGCCCCCCGAGGTGGTCCCGGCGGGCCTCGGCAGGCCCCCTGGGGCTGGGGCGCTCCGCGCCCCCGGGTGAAGGCGTTGAGATCGCCCTGAGCTACTTTTAAGTCGGGCCGGTCCCTCTTCAGGAGGAATATGCTAAAATAGTAAAAAAAAAAAATAGTGTGGGGACGATTTACTATTTCGAGGTATTTTGGGGATTTATCATTCGCGCAAAATCCGCCTGTAGGGGGACAGGCCCGACCTAAGACTATTCGGAGGGGGCCTGTTGAAGTCAGCTGGGACTACTCGGCGGGCCGCCTGTGCAGGCTGGCCGGGACTCCCTCGGGAGGCTGGCCCAGACTCCCGACGTAGTGCTTACATATATATATATATATAATATTAATCATAATAGTATTAATAATGATAATGATAATGATAATGATAATAATAATCATACAGATAGTATTACTACTACTAGTAATAAGAATGATCGTAATAATAATGATAATCATAACATTAGTAATACTAGTATTAGTAATAGTAGTAATAATGATTATAATAATAATTATCATAATAATTATTTTTATTATTGTTATTATTATTAAAATACTAATAATAATAAGAATAATACTAATAATAAACATGATAATAATATTACTAATAATAATAAAAGTGGTACTACTAGTCATCATCAAAAACAACAATAGAAAGGAAACATCATGATATAAACAAAAAAGCATCGACCCCACAGAGGTCTGGACCACTTCCCCGGGAACGGTTTTTCGTCCGACGGGTCGTTGACGGTCCCCGGGGGCCTGGCCAGGGCCCCCGGAGGCCGAAAGCAGCGGAGAGACTTCCCATCGCGTTGTGTTTTCTCCACGCGAGGGGGTCCGGGGAGGCCGGCCGTGCGCCACCCGCCGAAGCCTTGTTCCGTTCCCGAACCTGCCATCGCGGCGCCAACATCGCAGAGCGGATCTCGTTCGGAGGACCTTCCGATGGGCCCAGATTGTCCTGGAGAGTGACGTCCTGAATTCCGAAGTGAATTTCGTGCGGATCTTGTTTTGGCCAGGAATGAAGACTACAAAACACCCACGTGAACTTCGCCTCGTTGTTCGCCCGCCGTCTCGGAGTTTTGTATTGACAGAGATCCACGCAAACATCCGCTGCAGAACGTCTGCAAGGAGGTCGGTGCAAGAATTTTTGGAACATCGAGCCGCAGGCTTTTCTCGCATCTACTTTATTGGCTCCCGTGCGGCTGCCCGAGAGCGAGGGGGGAGGCCTGGGACGCGCCGAGAAGATGCCACACACCATGCGCCGTGCGCTTGGGGGGGAGAGAGAGAGAGAGAGAGAGGGATAGAGAGACAGAGAGACAGAAAGAGAGAGAGAGAGAGAGAGACCGCACGGAGTGGGGAAAAAGGAGGAGATAGGAGGAGGAGCTGGCAGTTAATCTGGAGGGCGAGAGGGGAATGACGGCGGGCGGGAGGGACAATCCGAGGGAACGAAGAATGACATAAGCATAACAACTCGGAGGTCCGCGCGGACCCCCTTCCATGGCGCGCGGAGCGCGCCAGGGGCGGCGCCGGAGGCGCCGCCAGGGGGTCCCAGCGCGGATCCGACAAATCCGCGCGGCCCTCCGAGTTCGTACTTTTATGTCATGCTTTGTTCCCCCAAATCTGGAGGAGGGGCAGGGTCAGGCGATCACAAACCTGGGTCAAGGGGGCGTGGATTGGCGACGGGTCCCGTTTCCATGGGAGCTCGCGGCCTTCCGCCGCCGAAAAAGAGGTGGCACTGGCCTCGTTTTGGGGAGGGCACCTCCCCCGATCCATGGATTTGGCGACCGCGCGCCGAATCCATGGATCGCTAATCCATGTTTGCGCGCCCCCGAGTCCTTGGATGGACTGCACAGAGGACGCTTCTTCCAGCCGAGACGCCGAAATACGGACCGCTTTGGGCTCCGGGAGGAGCTCTGGTGTTCGGGCCGTTCTCCTTAGCTGTAGGCCGGGAAGCCTGCTCGCAGTCGAGGCTCGCCGTGGCCAGGAGACCCCCTTGGCTCCTGACGTTTGCGTGCCCTCTGGCAGTGCCATGACTGCACCGGAGCCTCCACCAGCATCTCCTCCTCCAGCTCTTCCAGCTCCCCCTCCTCCTCCTCCTCCGACGTTTGCGTGCCCTCTGGCAGTGCCATGACTGCACCTGAACCTCCACCAGCATCTCCTCCTCCAGCTCTTCCAGCTCCCCTCCTCCTCCTCCTCCTCCTCCTCCTCCTCCTCCTCCTCCTCCTCCTCCTCCTCCTCCTCCCCTGCGTCCTCCTCCTCCTCCTCCTCCTCCTCCTCCTCCTCCTCCTCCTCCTGCGTCCCTCCTCCTCCTCCTCCTCCTCCTCCTCCTCCTCCTCCTCCTCCTCCTCCCCTGCGTCCTCCTCCTCCTCCTCCTCCTCCTCCTCCCTGCGTCCTCCTCCTCCTCCTCCTCCTCCTCCCCTCCTCCTCCTCCTCCTCCTCCTCCTCCTCCTCCTCCCTCCTTCTCCTCCTCCTCTCCTCCTCCTCCTCCCTCGGAGGTCGCGCCCGCCCCTGCGCCGCCTCGAGGTCTTCCGGGTCTTCCTGTCCAAGGAGTTCGCCGACGGCAGCCCCGAGCTCGCGCGGGCGCTGCGCGGCTCCAAGCTCGCCAACTGCGGGGCCCGCCGCCCGCCGGGGAGGAGGGAGGGAGCCTCGGCTTCGCATCCTCGGTCCTCGATGCTCGATCCTCGAGGAAGTCGGGGGCCCCCAAACGGTGCGGTGACCACACCGTGCGGTGAGTCGGTGGGGATTCGGGGTCACCGCACGGTTTTGGGACTCGGGTCGTTCCTCCGAGGGCGTCTCGGGCGACAGGGGCCTCCGAGGTCCCAAGACCGTGCGGTGACGGACCGTGCGGTGAGGTCTTGGGGGATTTCGAGGTCACCGCACGGTCTGTCAGCGCACCGTTTCGGGACTCCCAAGGAAGGGATCTTCGGTCCTCGATTCTTCTCGGAATCCTGGCGCGCAGGGCACGGTGGCTGCGGCGCGCGCCGCCCGGGGCGGCCGACGGGCGCCGAGGTGCCCGCGAGCCGCCTCGTGCGGGGTGCGTGGCGGCCACCGTGCGCCCGTCGCCCGGCTCCCAAGAAGAAGAGCGCGCCTCCAGGGCCCACGCTGGTGTGCAGGCTCACGGGGGGAAACGCAGCGATTCCCAACCGCCCACTCCTCGTCGAGGGGGGCCCGAGTAGCCCACCCCGCCCAGGACCGTGTGGTTCTGGCATCGGGGGCCTCTCGCGCTAGTCTGCTGGCGATGTGTCGCCAGGTCGATGCTTGCCCCCTGAGCTGCCTCCACCCCAACGTTCCCCCTCAGACTTCGGATCCTCGATCCTCGACCCCCGAGTTTAGGGTCCAACTGTCCCACTCCTGGGAGGCTGCATCCGGCACCAGCGCCAGTGCATCCGTGGTCGAAGACCAGCCCGATCCCGCCGAGTCCGGTGTGTTTGAGGGCAGCTTGACGTCTGAGCGCCCTCCCCCTCCACCCTTCGCGCGGCCGCTCTCGTCTTCGCCTTTCCTTCTTGCGCGCCAGACAATTCGCTTGTCGGTTGCCCCGAGTAGCCCCACGCTGGTGGACTGCCTCTGCCTCGCCGCCGACGGAAAAAGTGTTTGAGGGCAGCTCCAGCGAGCAGCTCCCGGCGCCGCCCCGCGCCCTCTGAGGGCCTCAGGCTCGACGACCTCGGGCTCGGGGGCCTCGTGATCGGTGGCCTTGGGCTCGGGACCTCGGACTCGGGAACCTCCTCCTCCTCCTCCTCCTGCATCTCCTCCTCTTCCCTCGCCCCTCCTCCTCCTTCTCCTCCTCCTCCTCCTCCGTCTTCTTCTTCTCCTCCTCCTCCTCCTCCTCCTCCTCCTCCTCCTCTCCTCCTCCTCCTCCTCCTCCTCCTCCTCCTCTTCCCCCTCCCTTCCTCCCTCCCTCCCTCTCTCCCTCCCTTCCTCCTCCTCTTCCTCCTCCTCCTCCTCCTCTTCAGCATCATGATCATCAGCAGCATTATCATCAGCATCTTCATCACGATCATCGTCCTCACCATCACCCCCAGCATCATCATCAGCATCATCAGCATCATTATTATTCTCGTTACCACTATCATCATCACCATCATCATCATAAGCATTACCCTCGTAATCATCATACTTTGTATCACCACCACCATCACCGTCATCATCATCATCGTCGTCACAATCATCACAGGCATCAGCGACATCATTATCACCACTGTCATCATCCTTACCAACATCATCATCATGATCAGCATCATCATAGCCATCATCACCTTCAACACCACCATGATCATCATCAGCATCATCACGATCATTAGCAGCATCATCATCGTCATCGTTACCAGCATCACCACCATCACCATCATACTCAGCCACATCACCACCACCATCAACATCAACATCATCATCACCATCGTCATAATTGTCAGTATCGTCATCATCATCACCATCATGAGTATCATCACCGTCGCGATTACCACCATCATCATCATCACCATCATCAGCATAATCATCATCATCACCGCCGTCACTACCATCACCACCATCATCATCATCATAATCATCATCATCACCGTCGTCAGCATCAGCATCATCATCACTGCAACTATTATTATCATCATCAGCAGCACACCACTCGATTACACTCAGTACCCCCACTGCCATCATCACTGTCAGCAGGATCATCATTTGCACCACCACCACAATCATCATATTCATCATCAGCGTCAGCGTCAGCATTCTGATCCTATTCGTCGCCGCTATCAACATCAGCATCATCACCACCGTCCTCCCCCTCTTCTTCATCATCATCATCATCATCATCATCATCATCATCATCATCATCACCATCACCATCATCACCATCACCATCACCATCATCACCATCATCATCAGCATCATCATCGCCCCTCTCCTCCCTCGCTTCCACCTCCTCCCCCTCCTCTCCTCTTCCTCCTCGTCGAGCTCGGGGACCTCGGGCCCCGGGCCCCAGTTCGATGAGATCGTATCCTTCTGGACGCCGTGGTGCCCTCTAGGGCCCCTGGCCGCCCCGAGGGGCGTCCGTCTGGCGTCTCGACTGCGAAGCCATTGGCAACAGTAGCGACCTGGCTTCAGCTTTGGCCCTGGCAGGGCTCATTTCGACTCCTCCGATTCGATTCGATTCGGTGTCGATGGCCTCCGAGTCCGATTCGATTCGGCTTAGGATTCTGAGTTGGGCTCCGATTCTTTCTTGGAGGCACACTAGCCTGCCGATTGCCGCCGATTCGGCTTTTTCCGACTCGGCTGCCGATTTCCGCAGCTCCGACTTATTTCGATTGCCGATCCGACGTATCGAGTCGATTCTGGACTCTCCTGCCCTGGGCGCTGACAGGCCCCGAGGCCCTTACCGTTGATCATCTCAGGGGTGCGCCTGCCAGGTAGTCCTGGCAGGCAGGGCACAAGCAGCGATGGGCCTTGACACTGCACTGCTGAAAACGAGTGATCTGGTGATCCGAATGGGTGTGTAGATCGCACGCCTCACGTTGGCCCCATGCGGGGCACCTCATGAAAGCGCGCACCGAAATCCGCGACGGCGTTTGGGACGAAGTCTCCAGCCACATGTGCGACGAAAGCTGCAGCACCACCTACAGCGAAGAACAGCAACCTGCGCAGCCAAGTGCGCAGCATCACCTGCAGCAACATTGCACGCTCACGCGACGGATCGCGCTGCAAATAGTGCAGAACCTGGTGGGGACAGCAGTCCTTTCTCAAAGCGGTACCAGGGACGGCCGCCCACATGCGCGGGTGAGGCGCCCAAGGAGCATCAGTTGTTGCGCTGTGTCGGCCCCCGTCCAAGCCCCCTTTCCATGTCGGTTCGGGCCTTCTCTGCCTTGGCACCGCAACGGATTAGCAGGGCACGCGTGATCTTCCCAAGGCCTGTGGAGTGTGGGGTTCTGGCACCCGCGGGACCCGTGGCGTCTCGAACGACGGGGCGACGATTTGGGATTGGTCGAGGCTGACTTGGCACCGCGCGCCGCCCAGCGTCCGTGGTGGCGAATTTGTCACGGCGCGCTCGCGTCGCGCATCCGCGTCACGGCGCGCGCAAGGCACGGCGATTTCGGAAGAACCGGTAATTGCAAGTTGTTGCATTGGCTGTTGGTCACTAGCGCGTTGATGATGTTTATGATGGTTGTGATAGCGATGATGATGATGCTGGTGATGATGGTGATGATGATGGTGACTATGATGGTGATGATGGTGGTGATGGTGATGGTGATTGCGTGATGCTGGTTATGGTTATGGTGGTGATGACGATGACGATGACGATGACGATGATGATGATGATGATGCTGATGATGATGATGATGATGATGGTGATGGTGGTGATGGTGGTGATGGGGGTGATCGCGATGGTGATGATGATGATGATGATGTTGATGATGTTGGTGTCCGTGACGATGGTGATGACGATGTTAATGGTGGTGGCGGTAATGGTGGTAATTGTTATGGCGATGGTGATGATGATGGTATTGGTGGTGATCATGTTCATGCTCATTCTGATGTTGATGCTCATGAGCATGAGCATGAGCATGGCGATCGTGATGATAATGGTGATGGTGTCGTTGATGTACATTGCTGCAGATGGTGACAAGTGGGAAATGCTGTTGTTGGTGATGCCGGTAATGACGATACTGCTGATGGTGGCGATGATGACAATGCTAACGATGATGATGATGATGATGATGATGATGATGATGATGATGATGACGATGATGATGATGGTGATGGTGATGATGATGATGATGATGATGATGATGATAATGATCATAGTGATTATGATGAGATGATGACGATGAGGATAACGATGCGGAGTCTGGTACTGATGATGATGGTGATGTTGATGATGCTGATAATGATGGTAATGATGTTGATGCTGATAATGGCGGTGATGATGATGATGTTGATGATGAGGATGATGATGATGTCGATGTTGATGATGACGATGGTGATGGTGATGGTGGCGAAAAGTTATTGCACTCTGCTGTATCTGTATGAACGGGTGCTCACAAGTGCACCATCGCGCGGGCAACCCCGACAGCGCGGCCCGCGCCCACGCCAGCGCCCGCAGCAGCAGGCCTCCTCCCCCCGCAGGTCGCCTGCCTGCACCTCGAGCCCGCCAGGGGCCTCGCCGACGGCCCCATCACGCACGTGCGCCGCCCTAACTCTGCCTGTCGTCACCTCCGCGGCCGCCGCCGCATTTGGTCGTCGTCGTCGTCGTCGTCGACGTGATCGTCGTCGTCGTCGTCGTCGTCGACGTCGTGGTCGTCACCATCGTCGCCGCCGCAGTCGTCGTCGTCATCGCCGCCGACACCGCCATCGTCTTCGTCGTCGTCATCGCCGCCGCCGCCATCGTCGTCGTCGTCGTCGGTACCGCCGTCGTCGACATCGTCGCCGCCGTCGTCGTTTTCGGCCGCGGTCGTCGTAAGCGTCGCCGCCTTTATTGGCGTCGAGGACGGCGACGTCGTCGTCAATCGACGCCGACGTCGTCGCTTTGGGAGATTCGACGTTTTTATATGCCTGTGGAGGCACCCAGAGCCTTGCGGAGGCTTTGCCAGTCGTCCGTCCGAAACTCAAAGTCGGCTCAGAGTCTACCCCCAGACCCCTCCCGTGGCCCTGCCTGGCCAGTTTCTCGTGTCGCCTCCAGCCGTGGCGACGAGAACCCCCAAGAGCGTTGAAAGACCGCCAAAACGAAGGCGGGCCGACGATCCAGGATCGGGGGTGCTCGACGTGGCTCGGCGTTCTCGGGGCAGGAGCTTCCGAAAGCTCTGCCCCGCCAGAAGACAAGGGACGGGGATGGTTCTGCTGGCCGCTGCGGGCGCACTTGCTCGCAGCGGTCCTACTGCGCTCAGTCGATGGCAGCGCAGACGAGGAGAAATGGTGTCAAGTCGGGTGTGTCCCCCTACAGGGTGTGAAAATGCCAAAGTGGGTGTTCCGGGACGCATGCGGACGGTGGCACTGGAGGGCTTCGGTGGAGCTCCCTATGGGGCCACGAAGCGCTGTACTGGGTGGGTGAAACGCAGGGAGGGAGGAGGAGGGGGGAGGGGGAGGAGGGAGGAAGGAGGAGAACGCGGGGGCCGTCTCTTCAAAACGAGGACCCAACACAACAGGATGAGCGGGGAAAAGCACAGCGAGGGGGGGGCGGAGGGCAGAGGAGGTAGCGGAGCTACGGGAGATCTGGGAAGGCGGGGGCGAAAGCTTCTGGGGGGAGATGGGGGGGAAGCCAGGGAAAGCAGGAGGCCAGGGATGCTGGCGGGGAGAGGGAGCAGGGAGGTGCGAACCCAACGCGAGAGGGGGGGGCGCCAACGGGGCCACGCCATCCTCGCCCTCGTCGTCGTCCGCGTCGTCGCCGTCCTCGTCGCCGTGGTCGTCGCCGCCGCCGTCGGCGTGGGCGGGGGGGGGGATTGGCGGACAGCGGCGAGAACCCCTGCGTGCTTGGCAGGTGGAGCTGGTGCTGGGCAGCCAGGTGGAGTCGGCCCGGGCCGAAGGTCCAGGGCCGCCCCAAGGGGCGCGCCCGGATTGGGCAGGGCAACGGCCAGGACACATCGCCCCACCCTCAGATCCAAGCGTTTCGGGCCCCAGGGCCATCACAGATCGATCCGGCTCGAACAAATGCAGCTCTAGCTCGAGGTGCCGGTCGCGATGTGCTGCGATATTGCAATGTGTTCGAAGCGTCAGGTCTCAGGGCCAGAGAGTTTTGGAGCGCTCTGGAACGGCCACGGCGCCCGATACCTCCAGAACCGCAGGATCCTCAGAGATCACTGTCGCGTCCAGGTCCGATGCTGTGCCAGTCCTTGCTTCGTCTTATCAGGTGGCCCCCAGGAGCCCTCCGGGGACTGCCAGGGACGTCCAGAAGCTTGCCGGAGAGACTTCTGGAGCCACTCGGAGGCCTCCCGGGGGGCTGGGGGCCCGCATGCGGGTGCCTTTGGGGACCTCCCAGGTTCGACGGATGGGGTCGGAGGGTCGTGCTTCGTCGCCGATGCATCGGCGCGATCTGGAGCCCGAGCGTCTCTCGTCTCCACCCCGGAGTCGCCGATCCATCGACGACGCGGTGTAATCACCCGAGCCATCTACGGTCGGACCGAGGTATAAAATCGAGGTCGGCTCGGGGACGGCACCCCAGTGTTCTTCGTGTCTGCTAGATGCTGTTGCGCATCCTTGGGGAGGGTACTCTGTGTGATCTTCTGGTTAAGGGGTGTCTTGGCTGGCGGAGGGTCTCGCATGCTTCAAGGATGGGATGCTGTCTCAGGTCTGGCCGCACTTTGGCTCCTTCATTTTTGGATGGCATTGCGAAGGTGAGGCGAGCCCCAGCAAGACCAGGCAGAAGGTGCCTGCGCGGTTGCCCAGTCCGACGCCCAGCGATGAAACAGAGGAGCCCCCACGGGGGGTCGAGAGAGAGAGCGGTGTCGAGGCACGGGATGCGATGTTGGGACACGATGTGGTGGAGTAGCTCAGGAGGGACACGATGTGGCCCGTAGACACGCTCAAGGCGGTGTAGGCAAGGGCGATGCAGTCTTCGGTATTGCAGGTGGGGGTGGTTCCTGGCCAACCCACTTGTAGGAAAGTGCTGTGCGTGTTCTCCGACAATTTGTTATACGCCGCGGATTCTGCATCGCAAAAACTAGATTCCCAACATCGCCACTAACCAACATCGGCGTTAGCGTGGCATTGGGTGGTGGGGCAGCTCAGGAGAGACATGATGTAGAGCTTGGGGTAGCTACGACGGAGTGCACAAGTCTGGCAGAGCCATCTTGCAGCCCACGTGCACCCCAGGTGCTCAATCGGTAGTTCACCTAGTCCCGAGAGTTACCGATCACTGCGGACATGTTGTAGCTTCGATGAATCCGTGGTGGTCCAGGACTATTTTCCCGTCTGTTTGCGTCACCGAAAGCGGTACCCACAGCGCAGTACTCACACTTGCATACGGTTGAGCCCTTCGCCCGGATACTTTCGTTTTTTTTCGGCAAAGTCAGAACGACGACGAAAGGAGGGAAAGCGAAAACAAAACGACAACAGAAACCACGGTTTAGCTCAAGCTCTGCATAGGGGAACAAACAATGACATAAACATCAGAGTGAGGGGGCCGAACGGTCATTCTCTGCCCCTGGGTGCGTGGCTGAAGTGGAATTCCGCGGTGCGGATTCTCGTTGTTGTTTGTTGTTGTTTGTTGTCGTCGTCCCATCCGCAACCCGCCCCGCGACCCACCCGCGACCCAACCCGCGACCCACCCCGCGACCCACCCCGCGACCCACCCCGCGACCCACCCGCGACCCCACCCGCGACCCACCCCGCGACCCACCCCGCGACCCACCCCGCGACCCACCCCGCGACCCACCCCGCGACCCGCCCGCGGCCCACCCCGCGACCCACCCGCGACCCACCCGCGACCCACCCGCGACCCACCCGCGACCCACCCGCGACCCACCCCGCGACCCACCCGCGACCCACCTTCGACCCAAACCACGTACAAGGTACAAACCACCATTTTCGGCGCCTGCGGCGAGCTTTCTTCGCTTTCCTTCCAGGTGGAGAGCCCGCGACCCACCCCGTGACCAACTCGCGACCAACCCGCGACCCAAATCACGTTCAGGGTACAAACCAATTTTTTCTGCGCCTGCGGCGGGCATCTTATGAATTCGTTTCAGGGGCGGCCTACCCGCGACCACGTTCAGGGTACAAACCACATGTTTCGGCGCCTGCGGCGGGCATCTTTTGCATTCGTTCCCGGTGGAGACCCCGCGGCCCACCCGCGACCCAAACCACGTTCAGTTTACAAACCAATGTTTTGGGCGCCTGCGGCGGGCTGCTTTTGCATTCCTTCCAGGTGGAGGTGGAGAGCCCGCGACCCACCCGCGACCCAAATCACATTCACTGAACAAACCAATGCCGCACAAGCGCGGCGGCGGATTTTGCACACCGTCTGAACCCGCAAGGATCTCTTCAAGCCCCGCGCATCCACACCAGCCCGTCGAGCAACTTTGCCCTGGCGAGTTGCCTTGATCAGAGAAGTCGGGGAGCATAAAGTGGAAAGAAGGATTACGTTGCAGTTATCTTGGGAAAGGAGGGGGAGGCAGGAGGACTAAACAGGGGACGAGGAGGACGCGGAAGAAGAGAGGATGCACGGGGAATGCGGAGAGAGAAAAGGAAGAGGAGCAGGAGGACGGGGAGGGGGAGGAGGGGGAGGAGGAGGACGAGGAGGGGGAGGAGGGGGATGATGATGATGATGATGATGATGATGATGATGATGATGATGATGATGATGATGATGATGATGATGGTGATGATGATGATGGTGATGGTGATGGTGATGGTGATGGTGATGGTGATGATGAAGATGATGATGATGATGATGATGGACGACAATGGGAGGACGATGATGGAGGCCGATGAGGGGGAGGACGACAATGGGAGGACGATGATGAAAGGACGAGGGGGGGAGAGGGAGGACGAGGAAGAAGAGGAGGAGGAGGACGAGGTGGAGGAGAAGGATGACGACGACGATGAGGACCAGGACGAGGAAGAGGAGGAGGAGGAGGAGGAGGAGGAGGAGGAGGAGGACGACGAGGTGGAGGAGGAGAAGGAGGAGGAGGAGGAGAGCGCCATCGACAGGGAAGGTGGGGGCCACGAGGTCCGCCGGCTCGACGACGCCCGCGTCGCCCGCGCCCGCCCCCTCACTCTTATCCGCAATGGCGGGGTGCTACGTTAGAAACTCGGAGGTCCGCGCGGACCTCCGAGTTTTCAAGCTTACGTCACTGTTCCTCCCCCTTATTCGAGCAACGCCCGAAGAGCCGCGCGGGAAACGTGCCGTTCTCGCTCCGGGCCGCGGCCTGTTGTTCGCCACGGGCGCGGGGCACCCCCCTCGCCCTGGCGGCCGAGGCAGGACCTGCCGGGACCGAGGTTTTGCCGGGGGGGGGGGGGAAGGGAGGGCGACACCACTCTTCGGGTGTTGCTCGAATAGGGGGAGGAACAGTGACGTAAACCTGAAAACTCGGAGGTCCGCGCGGATTTCTCGGATCGGCGCTGGGGCCGCCTCCCTGGCGCGCGGGCCAGGGGCGGCCTCGGAGGCGCCGCCAGGGGGGTCCAGCGCGGATTCTAGAAATCCGCGCGGACCTCAGAGTTTTTTTGTTCATGTCATTGATTGTTCCCCTCTAGAGGTGCCCCTGGCCCGAGGTCCCCCCAAGACTTCCAAGGAGGCCCACACGGCCTTCAGAGCACCCCTCACGAGGCCCAGAGGGCTCCAGGGGCCCGAAAATTGAGTGAGCGAAAAGTTGGGGGCACGTTTGGCCAGGGGCACCTGTGGCAACCCCCGAATGTTTTGCAACAGGGATCAGCTCTGACAATCTGTTCTGTCCCGTGCAAATCTGATCGGGACCGGTCAGGGTTCGGACAATCGCTGTTCGGCCCGACTTGTTGTTGTTGTCGTTGTTGTCAGCGTTGGCTCTACAGTGCCACTGGCCCTCTTCCCAGTGCCCTTTACATCAGGCGCATCAAAGAAGAGGTCGGCCTTCAGGTGCCAAACGGAAGTGTCTTATCCCCCAATCGCCCCAGGTACCCGCCGAGATTCTCTGGCATCCTGGAACCCGCAAGCATTGACTGAGAATGTGTCCCTGCGCTCCTCCTCCCCCTCCTCCTCCTCCTCCTACTCCTCCTCCCCCTCCTCCTCCTCCTCCTCCTCCTCCTGTAGCAGCAATTCGTATCGCGTGCTTGCTGTACTCTGTTGCGCCTCGAGCCGCCGGGAGGACAGCGGCAAGGCCGCCGACCACAGGCTCGGGGCCGGGGCCGAAGACGAGACGGAGGCGAGAGGGAGGCCGTCATCAACGGCCTTGACCTGAATCCGGTGCGCGTTCGCCCAACGTGCACTTCGCAGCCGATGCCGTGGCAATGTAGCTTCTTCTTCTTCTTCTTTTTCGCTGTCAAACATCGGGCCGGACGAGAGGGGAGGATAGGGAAGGGGGGGACGAAATCTGCTGCATGCAGCTGGTTTCGGCCCCACCGAGGGGCCCATTCCTCGATACATGGCCGCCTCCTGGCGCAGGGAGGCGCTGGGAAAGTTAGCTACGTGAGCTGACTCTCAAACCCCCCCTTTGCTATCCACCCCTTTCGCCCGGCCCGAAAATGCTGCAGTTTCTAAGAGATGCGGCTGGAAAGTGAGGTCAACGCTGTGACATTCCCGCCCGTTGTCTCCTTGCTGTCAGGGCTCCTCACTGTTGGCGCCTCGTGCGCCATCCTCTCCTAGATGTTCCTCTTCCTTCTGCTTGCCACATTCCCGCTCCTGCTCTGTTGCTCGTTCATAACAGTTTGCTCCACGTATCCTGTCTCTCTCCCCTTTTCATCAGCCCCTCCTTTGCTCCCGTCCTCCTCTCTCCCTCATCCTTCCTTTCCCCTCCCTCGTCCCCCTCACCCTCCATCAGTGTTCCTCCCTCCTGCCCTTCCCCCCTCCGCACGCAGAGTAGTAGGATGTTCGAGGCCGAGGATGGCTCTTTCTCCTCCAGCAAGTTCCTCCCTCCTCCATCACTCCTTCAGTCAATGCTTCCACCGCACGGTCCTTCCCCCCCTCCGCCCCTAGCAGCCTTCCCAATCTTCCCCTTTACTCAGGAGGGAAAGAAACACACAGACACAATTAATCGTCGACTCCCAGGAAAATATACGGAAACATGGGAAGTGGGGGGAAGACAGAAACCTAGAAACTATGGACAATATGTGGGGAGTTCTGTTATTTGTGTATAGTTGTATGTGTGTGTTTGTGGGCCCCTGCATTTACCTCATTCCATGATCCACCCATCTCCTCCCACCTCCATCCTCCGCCCTCCTCTCTTCGACCTTGTGCCTGCTCGCGCTCCCTTATCATCTACTTGCCCCTCGTCCCCCAGCTCTCTCATTCCCCATTCCCTCAGTGCATGGTTTCCGCCTTGCAGCCTCCTCCTCCTCCTGCTGCCACAATTCACAAATACCCTCCTGCTTCCCCTTGTCCTCGTCGATCCTCCCTCGCTCTCCCTTCCTTCCGCTTCGCCCCTTGCCAACCAGGGGCGTGTCTCAGTTCTACGAGGACGCGAGTTTTGAATGCTCAGACACCAGCGGCTGGTATCATCCCATGCATCTACCCATCGGCGTCGCGTTGGAAATAGGTGGTGTCGTTTCTGCGGAAGTGCGCAGTGCAAGTGCCAGACAATGTCGAGCGAAAGTTCGCGTACGACTGCATGACGTCCGAAGCTATTATTCTGCAGCTCCCTCACGCGACGGCGATTTCAATCAATCGCCGCACGAACCATGTTCGAATGGGGGGCACGCCTGCGCATGTGGCATCTACGGGACAGGTGCCAGGGTATCGCCCCAAAGCATGTACCGCAACCATCGACCAGGCGAGCCGACACATCATGATCAAGGTGGTCATGATTTGTCTGCGAAGGTCAGCACGATCGGCCCGATCGATCCAGCTCAGTTCGTGGTGAGGGACGGCGTGCGCAACATGTAGTCAGCTTGTGCAACGGAGCGACGCTCAACGGGTGGAAGATCCTCTTCGCGGCGGAGTGGGACGGGTCTGCCAGCTCACGCTTGCGCCCTCAGCGTTGTTGCTAGCGTTCGCTCGAAGAAGATTCTAGCTACACCGATTCGTACTGAACGGGAGCCCGTCAGCTTGCGGGTTCTACGGGGCTACACAGGAACGCGCGCGGCCTGCTCGAGTTTGCGAAGGACTATAGAGCCAAGCAGGCATTGGAGGAGATTCTTGGTAGCAGCAGTGGAGCTCCGCTTTGGTCAGGTGGTGGAAGTCGGCCAGGTGTTTTTTTCAGCCGCGTGCCAACGTCAACGCGGCTGCGATGTGGACGTTCGCAGCAGTAGCCGTTGCGAGGTCGCCACGCAGCAGTCGTCTCGCCAGCGGTCAAGCCGAGGGGCCCACTGCACGGGTGGAGCCCGGTTGTGCATGGTACCCGTCCACCCGCATATTACATTGTGTGTTTGGCCAGGGGTTGTTGATGCCGTCATGCACTGTTTTCCCCCGTGCTCCTGTGGTTCATTTGTTCGTTGGAGCTACTCAGTCCTGTGCTTCGCGCTGTCTTCCGTCGCTTGTGCATACAACGAGGCGCTGGGAGGTCGCGCTCGCTACAGATTACTTGTGGAAATGGGCCATTTGTGTAGGTAGCAGGTGTGTCGCTGTGCTTCTCTGGGTGGCCTGCTCGTTTTTTTGTCAAGCATGGAGGAACTAATGAATTTGGTTTCGGGCAGCACGGTTGTCTTCGAGGATGGCGGTCTCTTCTTGGAGCTGCATTGGGCACTTTCTGCAATATTTCAGGCCCCCGATGATCACTGGAGGTTCTTGCAGCGCAGTTGGCCGTATCGAGTCATCTTCGGCTCCGCTACGTGGGCATCTGTCCGCGTGCTTGTATCGGAGTCATCCGAAGTATCGGCTTTTGTTGTTTCGTGGGTTTCAATACCAACCTATGTTTCATCTACGGGTCGTTTTCTTCGCGGGCATGCTCAAGGGCGGCATGCGATTGTGAATCGTTAGCTCGCTTCGCGACTGGTACATCTCCATATCATATCATCCCTGTTTCGCCCTTTGCTCCTTCCCTCCTATTCCCCCCACTCCTCACTCCCTCCATATATTTCTTCTCTCCCTCCTCCATTGTTCTATCTATGTGGTTCACGCGTTGGCCGCATCCCGGCACCAGGGGTAAACCCAAAGGCGTCGCAGCAATCGCCGCCGCCGCCGGAATCGCCGTCGTCATCGAATGTTTGGCCATTGGCCAGAAAGGTCGATTCACGGACCGCGCGGTGACTTCGAAATCCCAAGACATCTCGCAGCGCGGTCCATCACCGCACGGTTTTGGGACTTCGGAGACCCCAGTCGCCCAAAACAGCCTTGGAGAGCGGCCCGAATCCCCAAAACCGTACTGTGACCCCGAACCCCCGCCAATTCACAACAAAGTGTGGTCACCACACCGCTTGGCGGCCGACGATGAGTTGTCGGAGCGCAGGCGGACCCACTAGCCGCCGCCGTATCTTTCGCCGCCGTCGCAGTCACCGCGCCGTCGTC